TCAGCCGGAACGCGGCGGAACCGCGTTCCGGCACCTTTTTCCAGGCCGGCCGCACCGGAAATAGCCCCTCCCACACCGGAAATAGCCCCTCCCAAATTTTACTTGCATTCCTGTTCTCTAAAGGGGCGGTCCTAGGGTTTGATGAGGGCGTGGCCAGGTTTGAGTTCCGCCACCTTTTCTCCGAGAAAAAAAGCCCTGAATAAAGGTGGATGTCAATGCTGCAAATACTGTATATTCTTGCTTTGACAATATGCAGAACTGTCTGGTATTTTTATAGTTAAATCAGGCAACAGTGAAAGCCCGGGGAAAAAGAAACCGGATGTAAATCACATCTTCCAAGTTAATTGGAAGATGTGAACCATGACCCCAAAATAGGGGCGGGGAAAAATGCTTTGAATGTATGTGTAACGGAAAAGAATCCAGATCTAAGCATTTCCACCATGCCGTACTGACGTCTCTGTAACCTTAATAAATGCTTTTAGGAAAAAATATGCCCGAAAGTCCTTTTAAGTGTTTCGTTAATCAGACACATGACAGTGGAAAGGTCAAAAGTGGAAAATGTGGGTATAATAAAAACAACGGGACAACAAGGACAAATATTCTAAAGAAGAATAAGGGGGGGAAATGTAAATAATAGAAGATTACCGTTACGAAATTGCTGCTAAAAAAAAGGGAGGAGTATACACTGTGTGTGTATGTGTGTTTTGTTTTGTTTTGTTGGTTTAAAAAATAAAAAATTATTTAAAAAAAAGAAAGAAAAAGGCAGTGGCACAATGCACATACTGGGGCTAGTTCATTAATGTGGAATCAAGAACGAGATTTGTTCAGCTCTTTTGCGATACTTCCCTGGGCTCTTCTGTGGAATAGCAGTTCCAGCTTTTTGATAACGTTCCCTGATACCTGCCTTGCTGGAGAACGTCTGCAAGAAGGATGTCCAGGAAAAGCAGGAGAGGGGAGATATTATAAAGTGGTGTAGAAATTCAGTTTTTTTAAAAAAGTAGAAACTGCTATCAAAGAGAATTTTTTGTTCTAAACTGGGTGGGGGGGGAATCCAGTCTCAGATCTCTACAGGCTTGATCCACCGTAAGATTTTGAATATAAAGCAAATTTCCATCCTTCCGAGATGGAATTAAAGCTTCTGATACTGGAGTGAGCCATCGAGGCACTTTAACCTGTAATGAGATTCAGTTCTTTTTCATGCTTTCTGGCTTTCTGTCTTAATTTTGCTCCCTTTCCATCTCTCTCTCTCTCTCCCCCCCCCACTCCCCGTCCAGGATTTCTGGGTGGTAAATAACTCCATCCAGAGCACGATTATCCTCCTCATTGAGCAGATAGTGGTGGCTCTTGGTGGGGAATTCAAGCTGTACCTTCCCCAGCTCATCCCGCACATGCTTCGCGTCTTCATGCACGACAGCAGCAGCACCCGCAACGTTTCCACCAAGGTGAGTTGGAACACAGGTGGTTGCATCCCACACCCTAGTCCAGTGGTGGTGAACCTGTGGCACGGGTGCCAGAGGCGGCACTCAGAGCCCTCTCTGTGGGCACAGGCACCGTCGCCCCAGTCCTAGGCCTTCAGCTGGATTTTATAAAACCTTTTCGCTTTAGGCCTCTGCTGCCGTGTACACACAAAAAAAAAGGTTCAATCAATCAGTCAATTTCAACTTCTTGGGGGAAAAAAAAAGATCTTGCAAAGTTGGAATTGATTGATTGAACTTTTTAGTCCCACCCAGTCTGCCATTACCACCGCAGCCACGCCCACCCAATGGGCCACACCCACCCGGCACTCGACGATGCATAAGTGGGTTTTGGGTTGCAGTTTGGGCACTCAGTCTCTAAAAGGTTCACCATCACTGCCCTAGTCTGATTCAAACTCTGATCAGCCCCCCCCCCCAAACTCCTGGGCTGCTGCAGGCCTGGACAAGTTAATCTTCATCTGGCTTTTGTTCTCAGGAAGACCTAACTTCATGTGTTTAGAAACATGGAAGAGCGTGTCCCAACTGCTGGTTTTTTTTTAACTCACTCAAATAAATTAGGATTAGAAAATGCCAGAGTGGCTCTTTTGAATCTTGCCCTTGGTTCCTATCGTCAAGGTTGAAACGTTGGCAGCTACATGCCTCTGTGTTTCAACTTACCTTTACATTAAGGTGGGGGGGAGGTGTTAACTCTCAAGTGGGTTAGATGGAGAAACAAAACGTCTACGATTCAGCTGAACGCCGTAAGAGCCTGAAGCCTTTTCAAGGACACCAGAACAGGTGTGGATTTGAAGCGGACGGTTCCCATAACAAAGCGAACTTGTTTATGTGGACTTCGTAAGACGTTGGGGGTTTGGCTGGGAAAAATTATTGTTTAAGTCTATGAATTGGTGTTGGATTCTCACAGTTAAGTTTTACTTCGACATTACCAGGCGGTGTATTTAATAAACAGTGAGAGTTTCAGAGACGGAACGAACCTGGAGTTTTGTTTGGATTCTCGAGTTGGATGTTGACACGGAATTTGCTTTTTTCCAGCTGCTGAATGCCATCCAGCTGTTTGGCGCCAATCTGGATGATTACCTGCACTTATTACTGCCTCCCATTGTAAAGCTTTTCGATGCGCCCGATGCCCCTTTGTCTGCTCGCAAGTAAGGATGGATGCTGTCCACGTGCATCTTCACTGTTTTACAGGCTTTTAATAAAAGGCGCTGCCGGTAGTGTCCAAATACTTTTAATTTTCTTGAAAGGACGTCCAAACCTGTCCCTCTTTTGGGTTTATCTGTGTCCAGTGTGTGTGTGTGTGTATGTTTACAATTAACAGTGCTTTGTTTTTCCCTTTTCGCAGAGCTGCCTTAGAAACCGTGGACCGATTAACGGAGTCCCTCGATTTCACGGATTACGCTTCGCGGATTATCCATCCCATTGTGCGAACTCTCGACCAAAGCCCAGAGCTTCGGACCACTGCCATGGACACACTCTCCTCCTTGGTCTTCCAGCTGGGGAAGAAGGTGAGACGGGCATTATTTTGCCAAGGAGAGATCCTGGCTTGGCTGAATTTAAATCCTTTCCTTTAAAACATATGTCAAGAAGGGTTGCTGGAATTGGTTTAATGAAAAGAAGGACTAGGGGTGATGTGATAGCAGTGATCCAATATCTGAGGGGCTGCTAGAAAGAAGGGGGGAGTGTCAACCTATTCCAGAGGTAGGCAACCTTGGCCCTTTTATGACTCGTGGACTTCAACTCCCAGAATTCCTGAGCCAGCCATGCTGAGGGGAAAGGGAGAGGTTTCCAAGCTGAGCCATGCTGGCTCAGGAATTCTGGGAGTTGAAGTCCACGAGTCATAAAAGGGCCAAGGTTGCCTACCTCTGGCCTAATCTCTAAATCTAAAGCATCTGATGGAAACTAACCAAGGAGAGAAGCAACCTGGAACTAAGAAGGAATTTCCTGACAGTTAGAACAATTAACCAGTGGATCAACCTGCCTCCAGAAGTTGTGAATGCTCCAACACTGGAAGTTTTTAAGAAAAGACTGGACAGCCATGTGTCTGAAATGGTATAGGGTTTCCTACCTGAGCAGGGGGTTGGACTAAATGACCTCCAAGGTCCCTTCCAACTCTGTTATTCTGTATTCTGTAAATAGCTCCTTAGGTGATTGGGAAAGTGACACTGTAACTCTGAACTTTTAGCTTCTATAGACATTAGATTGTATATATAGCTTTAAATGAAATAGCGGTTCTATCCTCTAGGTTTTTGTTTTTTGTTGTTGCAAAATATGAAACTACCTATTTAACTGGATCGGTGACGCTTGAAAATTGAGAAGGTTGCTTTGGCCAAAAAATTAGCACCATAACAAAGAGCTGTAAATTAATCCACAGCAGAAAGACAAACTCGGTTAAATGTAATCATCTACTATTATTATTATTATTATTTTCCTCCAGCTGTTTTGGAAAGCAGGTATTGAATGTGGTATGTTAGATCTCAGGACATCTCCCTGCGGAGATTTAATTTTTAAAAATTCCACTCTTGCCGTTGGCTCCGAGCTGCTTTTCTCTTCGGCTGCTTTTGTTCTCCGGGGTGCTAACTCTCCTTCTCACCCCTGCAGTATCAGATCTTTATCCCGATGGTGAACAAAGTACTGGTGCGTCACAGGATCAATCACCAGCGGTACGACGTCCTCATCTGCAGGATTGTGAAGGTCAGTGAATCCCCAAGAAGCAGAAGGAGATGGCAGGGCGACCCCTTTGTTTGAAGGACACCTGTCTCTGCTCCTGCCCTGAGCTTATCAATACACCTGAATTTCACTTTTCAGCCCATAATGCTCCTTCCATTTTTATACGAGAAAGGGGCGATTCGCATCCTTTCCATTTGGCCACAAGCGCGCAGCGGCGCTGCCCAAATATAAAACTAGATTTGATTTTGCTGAATAGCTGCTTTTCTCTGCATCAGGGCTACACTCTTGCTGATGAAGAAGATGACCCCCTGATTTACCAGCACCGCATGCAGAGGAGCAGCCAAGGAGAGGCCCTCGCCAGCGGCCCAGTCGAAACGGGGCCCATGAAGAAGCTGCACGTCAGCACCATAAACTTACAGAAGGTAAGCCGCTAGGCAGAGACATGCCTTGCGTAGGGTTTTTTAAAATAACATTCTTAATATTTAGCAAACAGCATGTGGTCTGGGTTCATGTATTTTAAAAAAAAACAGATTTTCTGGCCCTCGTATGAGTAGCTGGTCGCAGCGACTCACAGAAGGACGCTTTGTCTTCTAGGCCTGGGGAGCAGCCAGAAGAGTTTCCAAGGACGATTGGTTGGAGTGGTTGAGACGGCTGAGCCTGGAATTGTTGAAAGATTCCTCGTCGCCTTCGCTGCGCTCATGCTGGGCCCTGGCTCAGGCCTACAACCCCATGGCCAGGTAGACATTCCACATCAGTCAGGGAGAAGGCAGAGAAGGATCCCCTCGGTTGTTCAATGCAAGCGTTAAAAAAATGTTTCAGGGAAGCGTGTGTGTGATAGTAGACATGCTTTGGTTTGAGGTGTGACTCCCAAAGGTGCTTTTTCAAGAGGCAACTGGACTCCCCCAAATCCACAAAGGGGGAACTCCACTTCAGACCAATTGTCAGCAGCGCCAACTCTGTCACCCTACAACGTTGCGAAACATCTAACCACCTTATTAGCTGCTCTAGTTGGCAACACCACCCATCCCATCAACAATTCGCAGGGCTTTGCCAGCAAGGCTTGGAAGCTAAAACTAGACCCAAAGGAGACCATGGTTTCCTACGATGTGACTTTCCTCTTCACCTGCATTCCAGAAGAAAGCCCAGATGCCTCTTGAAAAAGCACCTGTGGGACAACCACGACCTGGACGACATTCGGGATGTGAAGTTTTGGAGGCCGATGTTCCTGGGTGTTTGGGCGAGAACCTGAATGTTTTGCAGCAAAGGTTAAATCAGTCGCCTGCCGTGCCTTTGAAGGTTAACCTGTCCAAGACTAAGTACTTGTGCTTGAGGGGGAAAACGGTGTGAAGGATTGTGAGTTGCGCCCCAGTGCTTGAAAGCTGGCGGGAGTAGGTGATGTACATCAGTAAAAATGTTTACCGAGGATAGCAAACTGGATAGAAAAAAATTGTTTGAATGCTGAAAGAATGATAAGGGGTAGTTTGAGAAGGGTGTTTTTCTAGTTGCTGGCCAGTTCCCAGGTCTGATGGTTATTCCTATTAGACATTCTCCCCTCTGCAACTATGGACGCCAACGAGATGTGGCTGGGGGTTCAGTATGGATCAGTGAAGTGGTATGTGCAACATTGGCAGACTTACTGTTCCATTCTCCATGTCCCCCTTTCCTGCTGCTCCTCCCCCGCCCCCTCCTCAGAGACCTGTTTAACGCGGCCTTTGTTTCATGCTGGTCTGAGCTGAACGAAGACCAGCAGGACGAGCTGATCCGTAGCATCGAGCTGGCGCTGACGTCTCAGGACATTGCCGAGGTCACCCAGACCCTGCTCAATTTGGCCGAGTTCATGGAGCACAGCGACAAGGTAAAGCACGTTGGGGGCGGAGGTTTTCTGACTTCCTTTTTAACAGCTTGGCGCTGGTCTCATGAAGATGCAGGGGACTTGGCTGATAATGCAGAAATAGCAATACCACTTAGACTTACTGTATATGCCGCCCCATGGTGCTTTACAGCAGGGGTCCCCAACCCCCAGTCCGTGGACCGGCACTGGGCTGCAGCATGCCAGAAACCAGGCCCCCGCAAACAAGCGAAGCGCTATATGCAGGATGCGAGCAGCACACAAAACCACACCCCCTTTGGTCTACAGAAAAATGTCTCTCCACGGAACCGGTCCCTGGTGCCCAAAACGTTGGGGGCCACTGCTTTACAGCCCTCTCTAAGTGGTTTACAGAGTCAGCAAACTGCCCCCAACAATCTAAGTCCCCGTTTTACCCACCTCGGAAGGATGGGAGGCTGAGTCAACCTTGAGCCACTCAGGGTCGAACTGTTGGCAGTAAGCAGAGTCAGCCTGCAGTACTGCATTCCAACCACTGCGTCAAGAGGCTTAATGACGCTGGAGGTAGTCTCAGCTCCAGCGGTTTGAGCTCTAGCGCTGCGTGGCAGGGTGAGCTCCCGTCCCTCGCCTCAGCCTCGGCCCGCCTAACAGTTCGAAAGCGTATTCTGTGCAAGTAGATAGACAGTAGATAGATAACAACAACAACCACTGCCACTGCGCCACCAGGGCTCATGGATAAGCTTACATCTAGTTGCTTACATAACGTTCTCTAGATTGCCCTGGAAACCTGCACTCCATCACAGCCCTGATGTTTTGTCTGGCTTCCTCTGCACAGGGACCGCTGCCATTGGGGGACGATAACGGCATTGTCTTATTGGGAGAGCGGGCTGCCAAGTGCCGAGCCTACGCCAAGGCGCTACACTACAAAGAGCTGGAATTTCAGAAGGGGCCCACCCCAGCCATCCTTGAGTCTCTCATCAGGTAGGCTGCTTCCCCCCTTGCTCTCTTGGTTGGTAAGTTCACCTGCAGGAACTGGGTATGTCTAGTCTAGTGAAAAGAAGGTCAGTGAGGGGGTGACGTGATAGCAGTGTTGAGGGGCTGCCCCAAAGAAGAAGGAGTCAAGCTATTCTCCAAAGCGCCTGAAGGCAGGGCAAGAAGCAGCGGATGGAAACTCATCAAGGAGAGAAGCAACCTGGAATTAAGGAGTTTTCTGACAGTAAGAACAATAAACCATTGGAACGGCTTGCCTTCAGATGTTGTGGGTGCTCCATCACTGGAGGTTTTAAGAAAAGACTTTACAGCCATTTGTCCAGAATGATCTAGGGCTTCCTGCTTGAGCAGGGAGTTGGACTAGAAGACCTCCAAGCTCCCTTCCAACTCTGTTCTGGAAGTCCTTTATCAAGACAATCCCAGAGCAAGGATTGGAGGTATCTAGGCATCCTGTTTGGCATCAGTTGCATCTGGTACTCGCTTAGGGAAATTTGTTTAGAGTTAAGGAAGAAAATGGAGATTTTTTTTTTCAAACAAGAAACACAACATCGCGTGGAAAACATTCGTGCTAAATTCTGTCCTTTGTACAGTAAGTAGACAGAGACAAAAACCTCAGCACCAATATCCAGTTGATATTATCCAGGAGGTTTTTGTTGTTGTTGTTTATTTTGGGAGGGGGTCTCCATTGTCACTGGAACAAAGATGTATAGCTCTCCTCTGCCAGTCACCAAGAGATCCCTTTTCAACCTCAGATTCTTCATAACATTGACACCAGATTAGCAACCCCTCCCCTCCAGCGTTGGTTGGCCTTTCCAGAAATTCTGCTTGACTGGAAACATTTTTGTTCCGACGATTATACCCTCGGCCTCAAACTCAGTTTTAAAATCAAGAGGATTTTATTATACTATGGAGGAAAAAAAAGGTGTTTGTACAGAGCACTGATTGGTTTACAGCTGCAAAAAAAAAAAAAAAAAGAATCGAATCCTAAGCATCTGATTTCCATAAGCTTCTGATGTGGAGGAATCAACCTAGGCAATATGTTTGGCAAAAAAATCTGGCATAGCTTCTCTCCCTGTCATCCCCGAGATTCCAGTCCAGCAAGGACCTAAAGGCAAACCTAAGTTAATTCAGGGGGAGATGTGAGCATCCCGACAGAGAACGTTGTCATCGGAAAGATCCAGAAACCTTCAGGTGGAGACTGAAAGAGGTGAGCCATCTGCATTGCTACTGATGAAGTGGATTCTCGGTATATAAGCTCATTCTTGACATCCTGTCTCCCCCTGTGGTCCCTGGTTTAGAGGCGACATCATCTCCTTAGTTGACTCTATTGGGGTCCCTCTAGGCCTTGAAGTCTGTTGGCCGGATCTTCATCTCGACCCTCTTCAGGGAATATATTTTGCCATACCAGCCATACCAGGTGATGCCATCGGTGCTCTTGTTATGTTCATCCTTACGATAGTAAACCCCGTTCAGGTTGGAATCGGTGCAGCAGTTGTACCAGTAACCACCTGTGGAGAAAGAGGAAGACAAGAGGTTTCTAGGACCTCTTGTAACGCCAAGATAGTGGTCCTCATCGTCAACGGATCTCTGGCCGAGGGTCAACAAATTGCAAAGCATCAGGGAGATGGCCGTTGCCGGGGTCTGAACGTTCACGATTGAAAATGACACCGGTCAGTTCCTCCCACGTGGAGGAGTTTGTTTTCTGCCACTGCTAAGTAGCTGATGGAGCATAATGGAGCAGGAAGAAGACCCCCCCAAAGGCTATTTACAAGAGAAATTGGGACATTCAAAGAACAGAGCAATCAACACTTAGGAAGAGTTGCCCTTCTGGAAACTGGGCAAGCGACGTCGGTCTGAACAACCAGGTGGAATTGGGCTAAGGAACGGACGGCTGTTCCTACGTAGAATTTGGGAAGAGTTCTTCAAATCCAAAAGGGGACAGTGGTCCTGCTTAAGGAACCTTGATACAGGAAGAGGTTTTGTACAAGGCTGACCTTTGCGTAACTGCGCACAGTGATCGACACATTTGTCGTTGTCCTTGTCCATGGTGCTGAAGGCCGTGTTGTTATGGTACCGCATGGAGTCGCGTGGCACACTGCCACTGAAGTTGGCCAGGAAGAGGCGGTAGCTGCTCAACTCATTGCCCACCGCAAATCGGCTGTATTGAGCGAAAACGCTGTTGCCATCCCAATCCTGCAGGGCCAGAAGAACATTAAGGAGACGCCCCTTATTTATGCTTGGTTTAGGCAAACATTTACCTGAAATGTTGGTGCTTTCACCAAGCTCTCAGGGGAGGAAATGACTTCTTTGTTGAACTGATGTTTTCTTGTGCACCAGCCACAAAGGAATGTGCTCTACTAACCTGAAACTAACCGTCACTTCGTGCGTTAAGCCTTAGATTGGATAACGCTTTCAGGATTTATTAAATAGAGTAACGTGCAACGGAATCCATTATTTTCATGTACTGTCTCCAGTTAGCCAGTGCTGCCTGTCAGAGCACGCACCGTCTTGTTGCGCTGAAGTAACCCAGGAGTAAATGCGGTGCACGGTGGTTTGTGATTAAATGGTGGTTTATAACACACTATCTACAAATGTATGGTAGAAACAGAATACAAACAGCAAACTCTAATACACAGCAGTTACAGCAGTCAAATGGAGGAGAGAGAGAAAAACTCCAGCAAAAAAACTTCCCTTTTATACTCAGGCTCTTAAAGGGATACACACACCTGTTGAGCCATTCCTCTATTGCAATCATCCACATTACATCTTCATAAGCTGTTAAATCATTATCCTGACACTGCCCAAGGAAAATAGTTATGCAGCCTAATCACGGTCTAGGCTGCTTGAGTTTGGTGGACATGTGCCATGTCCAAACTGGCATTGTTAGACCATCTTTGGCAACCCATCCTAGCTCTCCCCCAAGTCTTCTGCGCTACTTCGGCACTGAAGTGTTTCTAATTGTTTTCAAGCTCCTTTCCTCTGGAACATTGCAACACCCCGGGGGTCTAACCGAGGGGGTCAGCCAAAGGCCAGCAAAGCAGGTGAAGAAGCTACCGTACTTGCCTCCAGCTCCACCCGAAGCGTGGTCGGCCTCCTAGAAAGCCGATGGATGTGCTCATTTCCCAGCCAGAAATCTCCCTGCGGGCTTCCGAACCCTTCCTTGTACTGCTTCCAACTTTGGCTGAAAGAAATCAAGCCAATTTTCCGCCTCTGGATAACAGTCCAGCCTCCTCCATCGGTCTCCATGTCACAGAATACCTGGGAAGGTGAAAAGAGGGGCGAATTCAGACATTCAGGCAGGCACGGCGGGTCATTTACTGAGACCGCCAGTATCAGCGTCGCTTCCGTATTGGATGTTTCCAGCATATATTCAAGCAGCCCATCTACCTCTCTTGGCAGAGCAAAAATACCTTGGCTGGAATGGGAAGGCACCGGAAAAGTTGCACGGCGTTTTGGGGAAGGTTTAAAATAGCAAGTCAAAGCGACTTACACCTAATTCCATCCCGTAGAGCTGTTGCTGTTTTGTACACAACTGGGAGGGGTGGTGGTGGCTCCTCTAAGATCGACACCGTTTCTAAGTCTATAGGAATCCTAAACCTCGCGTAGCTTCCTGCCTTTTCTCTCTTCCCACGGGGCGTGTTAACGTCTTACTTGCAGTTCTGGACTTCCCAGGAATTCATCAGGGAGAAGATAGTAGACGCCAGAAGATCTGTAATTTCTCTGATAGAGGGACGAGCAGTCGTACACAGCGTCTGAACCAGAAAATAGAAGCGCAGTAGGTTGAATTATTCCCAACTGTCAGGAAAACCTAGCTTCCCCCCTCCCCCATCCCTTTCCTTCTTTGCCTCCAGAAATTTGAAACACACGTGCAGCTATTCCCGTTGACTTAACTGTGTTGCAATTTCAGCCAATAAAACAAAACTTAGCTGGGACTAAAACGATGCCTAAATGGCTGCTGGGGTGCCTCTTTAGAGAGCCAATGTATTTTATTTTTTAAATATTTGGTCCGATTCTCTATGGAGAAAGAGCAAGGTTTCCAATTTATGTAACCTACTCCTATCCGTCATCTCAACTCTTGTGTGTCTGCCTCAGAAAGAAAATGTGTGTCACCGTTTTAAGGATGGGCATTTATAGGCCTTGGATATAAGCACGTACCAAATATAAGCACTAAGTGTACATGCCAATTTACCACCAATAAATTCAGAAGAAATACCGCTAGAAAAAGTTGAAAGGATCACGCACCTCGGTTCCAATTTACATGAAAGCTGGGACATGACCGTTGAAGCAAAGACAAGGATAGAAAAAGAACAGCATTCTTCAAAATGAAAAAGGTCTTCTGCAGTCACGACATAAGCCTAAGACTGAAAATCAGGCTTGTCAGGTGCTATATATTTTTTCTATCCTGCTCTATGGAGTAGAGAGTTGGTCTCCGACACAAGGCCACCGAAGAGACTGGAAGCATTTGAATTTGTGGATTTACAGGCAGCTGTTACATATAAGCTGGGTTGACAAGATCAGAAATGAGGAGGTGATAAGCCGCCTGGGAAAGCCAAGGGAAATCATCAAAACAACTAAAAAACGAAAATTAGAATATTTCGGACATGTGATATGACACCCAGAAAAATACGGCCTACTCCATTTAATCCTCCAGGGAAAGATGGAAGGCAAACGAGATCCAGGCAGAAGAAGAACTTCATGGCTTCAAAATCTAAGGGATTGGTTTGGACAAAACTCAGCAGCACTTTTTCGTGCGGCTGCTGATAAAAACATGATCGCCAACGTCTAATAATAATAATAATAATAATAATAATAATAATAATAATAATAATAATAATAATAATAATAATAATAATAATAATAATAATAATAATAATAATAAAGTTGGAAGGGACCTTGGAGGTCATCAAGTCCAACCCCCTGCTCAGGCAGGTAACCCTATACCATTTCGGACAAATGGCTGTCCAGTTTCTTCTTCCAGTGTTGGAGCATTCACCGCTTCTGGAGGCAGGTTGTTCCACTGGTTAATTGTTCTCACTGTCAGGAAGTTTCTCCTTAGTTCTAGGTTGCTTCTCTCCTTGGTCAGTTTCCATCCGTTGCTTCTTGTCCTGCCTTCAGGCGCTTTGGAGAATAGCTTGACTCCCTCTTCTTTGGGGCAGCCCCTGAGATACTGGAAGGCTGCTATCATGTCCCTCCCTCCTCCTTCTCTTCATTAAACTAGACATACCCAATTCCAGCAACCTTTCCTTATATGTTTTATAATAACGGATATGGCACAAGAAGAAGAAGAAGAATACATGCTAAACTCCCCCCCCCCCCCACACACACACATCCCTAAATATATGTGTAGGAACACTTCATCCTATTTTAGAAGGGCAACCTCAGCACGGGCGGAATACTGGCACGAGAAATTTACTTAATACAGTTGTCCAGAATAGACAGTTAAGAGAAGGAGCGCGATTTTTTTGAAATCTGAGCAGTTGTCTGGATTCATCGGCTTCGGAGTCTTCAAGAAGAAAAAAAATCAGTAGTGCTTTGAAAGGGCGAGCAAGGGCTGAGGGGGTAACTGGCAATGAAATGAGTTTGGATTTTGTGGTTACAAAGTGGCATCCAAAGGAAGCTTGACACCTAGTTCTTTTAAATCGGTATAAACCCTGGAAGCTCACGCTTTGAGTCAAGGGCTGCATTGAAGGGCTTGCTAGTTGAATAAAATAGTAGTTTTATTTAGGCTAGCAAGAGACGGAAGACAGAGGCTGAAACGTCCCTTGTGAATTCACCACCTGTTCCAGAAGATGGGAATTCTCCCCAAAGTCCAGGCTTCGGTCAAGTTCACAATAAACCCCTGTGCAATGGAGCTCCTCCTTAAGGTTCATCTCTTAATCCTACCCACCCACCCACCCCAGTTATATTTTATATATTCCCGGGAGTCAAGATCTGATGGCTGACGCTGCTCTTTCCGCATTAGCAAGCGACACTTCCGGGGAAGGGGAATTCTCTTCTTACCTGTGGACGTTTGGGTGACCGTCTGAGCCGCCTGGAGCTGCACAAGGCTGAGTTGGGAATTCATCTCCGAATACTTCCCTTCCATGTCGTTCAGGCGGGCGTCCATCAGCTTGATGCTCCCTTCCAGGGCCGTCGCCTGCGTGACGGCCTTTCCCAGGACGTCGTCCTGCTTCTTGCTCATCTCTTCTAATATGGAGGAGAGATTGGCCACTTGGACCTTCAGCTTTTTTAGCTCTTCGCAACATCCGGGGCTTTTGCTGTTCTTGTTGGTCCCGGTCTTCTTGGGAAGGGTCTGCAGCCATGTTGGAGTTACAGTGAAAAGGAGGGTTAGGCCACATAAGCAAGCCAGCTGGGGTCTGAAGGTGGACTGCATGATCGTGTGAATTCTCTCTCTCTCCTCTACTTCCTCTTTAGTTCCCAATAACTCTTAACAAATTCCAAGCTTCTCTCCTGGAAATTCAGTTTTTTCCCCCCTGTGTGATGGAATTGCACTGGAACAGAGGTTTTCTCCAACTCAGAGCTCTTAACCAATCTGAGTCAGTTGCCTAGGAATCTGTGAGTGTGTATCTTGTGTGTGTGTGTGTGTGTCTGCTTCTTACACACATTTTAAATATTCGTGGCTCCCGGCTATCTCCACTCTTTGCAGCCATCCAGAGCCCTCCCACTTCATCTGCCCATCGTGGGCGAAACTAAAGCTGGGCTGTGTTTGTGGATATTTTGTTTTTCGGACAACTTGAAACTTGCCTTCTTAGTTGGTTATTTTCTCAGGTGGGAGAAAAGGATTTGGGGAAACCACAATTGTTTCCAGGAAAGATGTCCTGTTGGATTGTGGCCTTCCCAACGATTAGCCTCTGGCACGGTGAAGACCATAACAGGATTTTGTGTCCCGCGAATGAAAGAAGTCCAGTAAATGTCATGTTTTTTTGCAACTAACCACCATCTTCCGCTGATTGTATCTCTGAGCAACCATGAGGTCCTTTGCGGGGTAACTCACTCTTGAGGGATACAAACACCCAGATGGGAAGAAAAAGGACTTTATTGTGAGATGCACTCCCTTGGAAAAATGCCTACGAACGTGTAGCTCGAAAAGTATAAATCACAAACCTGAGCTGGGTGTCAACAGCTGTCAGACTTTTGCAAAGCAGGACGTTAGGAAAAGAACCATAATTTCCACGCCACATTGGCTAAACTAGAGAGCATCAAAAAGGATCGTAGAAATGCAACACCTTAATAACAACAGCAACAACAATAACAATAATAATAATAAAATAGAGAAAGTCATAGAAAATGATAAAGTTAAACTGCTCTGGGGCTTCAGAATTCAAACAGACAAGCACCTGCAACATAACGCCCCGGACTTAACAATTGTCGATAAGAAAGACCAAAAAGTCTGGATAGTGGACGTGGCAGTGCCTGGAGACAGCAGAATAGACGAGAAAGAACTGGAGAAAATAACAAAATATAAAGACCTACAAATAGAAATAGAAAGACTGGCAAAGGCAAGCAAGGGTAGTACCAATAGTAACAGGCGCCTTGGGTGCAATCCCAAAACAACTGGAGCACCACTTGGACACCATCATCGCCATTGACAAATTCACCATTAGTCCATTGCAAAAGGCGGCCTTACTAGGAACTGCTTCCATCCTGCGACGAGATCTGTAATACCATCAAACATCCACATCTGCCTATCCCAGGTCCTTGGGAAGGACTCGATAGGTAGACAAAATGCCAAATCCAGTCTGAACCTCTGGCTGACTGTGCGATGATCCATAATAATAATAATAATAATAATAAAGTTGGAAGGGACCTTGGAGGTCATCAAGTCCAACCCCCTGCTCAGGCAGGAAATCCTACACCATTTCGGACAAATGGCTGTCCAGTCTCTTCTTAAAAACTTCCAGTGTTGGAGCACCCACAGCTTCTGGAGGCAGGTTGTTCCACTGGTTAATTGTTCTCACTGTCAGGAAGTTTCTCCTTCGTTCTAGGTTGCTTCTCTCTTTGGTTAGTTTTCCATCCCTTGCTTCTTGTCCTGCCTTCAGGCTTCTTTGGAGAATAGCTTGACTCTCTCTTCTTGCTTTTTTTTTTTCTCTCTCTCTCCCCCTCTCCTGGAATTTAAGAATAAAAATCACTTGAGCTCAGTCAAGTTTGAAGCATAAAGCATTTCCTCTCCTTTCCCCTTTGACAAGTTACAAAATGAAAAACCAGGACAGCCAGCCGAGGGCAGGGAGCAGCGACAATTGTAGTGAAAGGGGGGAGAGGAGGAAAAAAAGAAGAAGAGGATAATGGCCTATTTGTCAGAAGGCCGTTGAGAAGAGAGATAAAGTTGGAGGTGATTAATTGCCCAAGAGACAGAGCTGAGATGCTCCGGGCTGTCCAACCGAACGTGACAGCCATTCATCGCTTTTATAGCAGGTTGTTGATTCTCCTTCTCAAGAAGGAAAGCATCTTTATTCACTCCCAGGGAACCACAGTGGTTTATTGCCCGTAGCCGTATTTCAGGCAGAACAAACACAACTTGCTGTTTCATCAATAACATGGGTGTTGACAAGGCACTAAAAGACAGCTTAGGAACTAAAAAAAACCCCAAAAACCCTCGTCTTTCGAATGGGGAGTGGATGACTTGAGGTTATTTTCCATGCTGGGCCTTCTCCACACAGGCTCATAATCTGAGATTGTGGATCCACGCGCTCCTAATAACGGAACCTGGTTAGCCAGCACAAGAGACAACACCTTAGGATCCTCCTAGCTGAGCGCTAGATGGATTCCCTTCCAATGTGAGTGACGGGATGCTTCAGACAAAGTGGGGGTCAGAAGGAGGAAAGAATGGAGGAAGTGGGAATAAGGAAGCCACGACGCCATTTTATCTCTCTGCTGTTCCCTTACAGGACAGATCAGGGGTCTTCAAACTTGGCCCTTTTAGGACTCGTGGACTTCAACTCCCAGAATTCCTGAGCCAACATGGGGGAAACTATGGCCTCCTTCATGACTCGTGGACTTCAACTCCCAGAATTCCTGAGCCAGCATGGGGGAACTATGGCCCCCTCATGACTTGTGGACTTCAACTCCCAGAATTCCTCAGCCAGCATGAGGGAACTATGGCCCCCTCATGACTCGTGGACTTCAACTCCCAGAATTCCTGAGCCAGCATGGGGGAAACTATGGCCCCTTCATGACTCGTGGACTTCAACTCCCAGAATTCCTGAGCCAGCCTGGGAGAATTATGGCCCCCTTCATGACTGGTGGACTTCAACTCCCAGAATTCCTCAGCCAGCATGGCTGAGCTTGGAAACCTCTCCCTTTCCCCTCAGCATGGCTGGCTCAGGAATTCTGGGAGTTGAAGTCCACGAGTCCTAAAAGAGCCAAGGTTGCCTACCCCCTGCCCTAAAACAACTGTTATTTTTTAATATTTTATTATTTTTGCTTTGCTCTACTGTTCCTGGATAACACCTTGCTTTCTTTCCATAGTTGTTTCTTAACAGGAGCTACCCTTAGAATACGTCGAGGAACGAATCCCGTTCAATAAAAGCGAACATTACAAAAATCCAGCAAGGCAGCCACATTTCCCAATCTTGGGAACTTACGTTTTATAACAGAAAGCATTCCAATTCTCCTTTTTTTTCTTTTCTTTTCTTTTCAGCATAAACAATAAACTGCAGCAACCGGAGGCTGCATCTGGAGTGCTGGAATATGCCATGAAGCATTTTGGGGAGCTGGTAAGCGATCCCTCTGTGTTTTTGCCCGCCGGCTTGTGCGTTTGGAAGACTTCCTGTCTCACGTGGAGGGGCAGCGTGTGCGCCGTGATCCTGCCTGCAGGCTGGGGAGGAATCCACTGCTTGGCAACCGTCACAGCAGGAACTGCCAACGGCTGAATCGAAAAAGCCGGAGCCTGCACGAGGGTCGGGACATAAAATCAAAAAAGGAGGGGAAAAAACAAACTTTTCTATTCTTATTGCCACAAATTAAAAATGAAGCTCTTTAAAGTTAGCAAAAACAGGCGTAAGACAGCACTTTTTCAGACCCACAAAACTGTAAACAAGCTGACAATATTGGTATTTTATTTTAGGCGTTATTTAGTACTTCACCGTTGCTTCTGATGAGGAGAGCTGCAGTTCACAAAAACTTAGACCGGGGGTCTTCAAACTTGGCCCTTTGATGATTTGTGGACTTCAACTCCCAGAATTCCTCAGCCAGCGTGCACGCTGGCTGAGGAATTCTGGGAGTTGAAGTCCACAAGTCATCAAAGGGCCAAGTTTGAAGACCCCTGACTTAAACAAATGCATTGTGCTAATGGGCTCCGAGCAGAGCGACCCTTTTTACAAAATTTAGATGCCTTCTTTAAAAAAATGATAAGAAGATAGGAAGGTTGTTTCAAAAGGGGAGAATTTGGGACTTCTTTGTGAAAAGTCTGCCTTCATACTGAGCTGCAATCTGTTTCTAAAAGGGAAATTTTGTCAGATGGGAACAGTGTTTCTCCTTAGCAACTTTAAGCTGCCTGGACTTCAACTCCGAGATTCCCCATCCATGTTGAAGCCCACACAGTTTAAAGCAGGGGTCTTCAAACTTGGCCCTTTGATGACTTGTGGACTTCAACTCCCAGAATTCCTCAGCCAGGCACGCCTGGCTGAGGAATTCTGGGAGTTGAAGTCCACAAGTCATCAAAGGGCCAAGTTTGAAGACCCCCGCTTTAAAGTTACTAAGGTTGAGAAATACTCGTTGAGAAGGTTCAGGGCAGTTAAACAAAATGGCAGAGGCATCTCACTGCGATGTCTCAACACCGTTTGAGCTTCAGAAAGGTTTTCAACTGGTTAATTACAGTTGGGCTGCCCAGCTGCCAACGGTTGCTGTGTGCCAGTTGGGGATATGTCTTGGGATTGAGTTTTCTCCCCACCCCCACCCCATTTCCTGGTCCCTCCTTCCAGGAAATCCAGGCCACCTGGTATGAGAAGCTCCACGAATGGGAAGATGCCCTTGTGGCCTATGACAAAAAGATGGATACCAACAAGGATGATCCAGAGCTGATGCTAGGCCGCATGCGTTGCCTGGAAGCCTTGGGGGAATGGTAAGAGCCCAGCCATGTGTTTCGCCCTCGGGAGTGTCTGGTAAGGCTACCCTTGAAATGCTGCATCCAATTTTGTTCACCACAATATAAAAAAAAAATGTTGAGACTCTGGAAAGAGTGCAGAGAAGAGCAACAAAGATGATCAGAGGATTGGAGGCTAAAACTTATAAAGAACGATTGCAGGAATTGGGTATGTCTAAGTTAATTAAAAGGATTAGAGGTGACATTATAGCAGTGATCCAGTATTTGAGGGGTTGCCACAAAGAAAGGGGGGGTGTCAAGCTATTCTCCAAAGTGCCCGAAGGCAGGAGAAGAAGTGACGGATGGAAACTCATCAAGGAGAGAAGCAACCTAGAACTAAGGAGAAACTTCCTGACCGGGAGAACAATTAACCAGTGGAACAACCTGCCTCCAGAAGCGGTGAATGCTCCAACACTGGAAGTTTTTAAGAAGAGACTGGACAGCCATTTGTCCAAAATGGTATAGGGTTTCCTGCCTGAGCAGGGGGTTGGACTAGAAGACCTCCAATGTTTCCTTCCAGCACTGTTATTCTCTGTCCCTTCTTGGAAGTCTCTTTCCATGGGGCTCTTTATTTCACACCAGTTGCCAACTTTAAGACCTGCAGATTTCAACTCGCCAGACTCGGCTTTGAGCAGAGAGATGGGTGACACGTAAATTGAATCATAAAATAAATGTGTGGGTGGACGGACAGATGTTTTCTGCTGGGTTTATAACTCTCGGCTCTTGTGTGTCTGGTCCTAGGGGGCAGCTGCATCAGCAGTGCTGCGAGAAGTGGACCTTGGTGAATGACGAAACGCAAGCCAAAATGGCAAGGATGGCGGCGGCGGCAGCCTGGGGCTTAGGTGACCGTCCACCCCACCCTTCGCTCTTCAGGGGTCTTCGGGGGAGGAATCCCTGGGGTTGGGAGCCTTGCGGAGGCAGTTCCACATTTGGTTGTGCGAAATAGGCTCTCTCAGGCTTCAGCTGTTCTGCTGCAGAGACGTCAGCACCGTCCCGAGCCATGAAATCAAACAATATCCCAGGTTCCTTCTTCAACTGGCATAAAATGATCATTATTTTCTGTACACACACACACACACACACACACACACACACACACACCCTATTTGGCCCCATTTAGCCAAGCCTCCTAGAATCGGGTGGGCTGCAAGATCCCGAATGTTGCAGGCAAATGTGAAAAGGCAACAAAGTCTGAACAAACCAACGTCAACATTAACCAAGTTCAGGATATACAGCTGCAAGATTTTGACCAGGCCGATTGCTATGGCTAAACCTGTTTTCTTAGGCCAGGGGTAGGCAACCTTGGCTCTTTTATGACTCCCAGAATTCCTGAACCAGCCACGCTGAGGGGAAAGGGAGAAGTTTCCAAGCTGAGCCATGCTGGCTCAGGAATTCTGGGAGTTGAAGTCCACAAGTCATAAAAGGGCCAGGTTTGAAGACCCCTGCTCTAAATGGGCCTTATTGTAGACCTGATGGCTGCACAGACTAGGCCAGGGGTAGGCAACCCTGGCTCTTTTATGACTCGTGGGCTTCAACTCCCAGAATTCCTGAGCCAGCATGGGGAAACTATGGCCCCTTTCATGACTGGTGGACTTCAACTCCCAGAATTCCTGAGCCAGCCACGCTGAGGGGAAAGGGAGAGGTTTCCAAGCTGAGCCATGCTGGCTCAGGAATTCTGGGAGTTGAAGTCCACCAGTCATAAAAGAGCCCAGGTTGCCTATCCCTGTCTTAGGCTAAAGCAGATCTTCCCATTGGTTCAAACTGGGCTGTTTTTTTCCCTTTCCACAGGGCAGTGGGACAGCATGGAAGAGTACACTTGCATGATCCCAAGGGACACCCACGACGGCGCCTTCTACCGGGCTGTGCTGGCCCTGCATCAGGACCTCTTCTCTCTGGCCCAGCAGGTATTTCCTAAACCTTGCCAGCCCTGTTTGGGATTCCTTCTTTTCAACCCCATCCTAACCTATAATGTGTCTGTACTTGGCAACCTGCAATTGTTTGTTTGTTTGTTTGTTTTTACTAGCCACCTGCTTTATACCAATATAATGAGCTACCGAGATCATAATGGCCTCCTTATCCAGAGATACAGATCATTGAAGTCTCTAGCCCTAAAGAAACATTAGACAACTGGAGTGTTCATCTGTCCCTTTGCATTTGAATGCTCTCTTGTATTTTGCCGAGGCAAACCACCCAGCCTCCCATCCATCGATCCATC